TTTGATGCTCTTCTACTACTTTGGAAAGATGTTCTTCCATAGTCCTGTTGAACCTCTCGACCATGCCATCAGACTGTGGGTGGAGGGCAGTTGTTCTGGTCTTGCTAATTCCCATCAATTCACAGACTTTCTTGAATAAATTCGACTCAAAATTTCTTCCTTGATCGGAATGTAACTCCATTGGCACACCAAACCTTGCAAACATGTTATCCACCAGAGCTCTTACAACTGTGGATGCTTCTTGATTAGGCAAGGCGTAAGCTTCAACCCATCTACTGAAGTAGTCCATGGCAACTAGGATGTATTTCTTGCCATCATTCGTCATCGGAAATGGTCCGGCTACATCGATGGCGATCCGTTCGAAGGGAGCACCAACGTTGTATTGTTTCATCTCACCTCTGGATCTTGTTTTAGGACCTTTGCTGGCTTCGCATATTGGGCATCTTCGGCACCATCGCTCTACATCTTCTCGACACTGAACCCAGTAAAACCTTTGTCGTATTTCATCCAAGGTCTTGTTAACTCCCAGATGTCCTCCCGATTTACCACCATGGATCTCTTCCAAGACGCCACTTATTCTTGACATAGGCACAACCAGTTGGGAAATCACTTTCTTGCCATCGGCCGATTCCCAAGCCCTCTTCAGTAGACCATTCTCAACAATCAAGTAATCCCATTGTGCCCACAATGCCTTGAACGTTGGTGATCGATCAGAGATGTCCTACCAGGAGGGTCTTTTTGCTCCACTTTCCTTTCATTTTGAAAATTCTGCAACGTTTGGATCACCCTCTTGATCTTGTCTCATTTTTGCTGTGGTCCAATTATTGTCTGCCATCACTCTCACTTGGTTGATTCCTTCGCGTCGTTCAATTCGCTCACAGTGTTTACAAAAATCAGAACAAGGTCTTCAGGACAACGCATCTGCGTTATTATGCAGTCGTCCTGGACGATGATACTGGTTCAGCTTCTCAATCCACCTTGCTTCTTGTCCTTCAGGAGTCTTCATTTCGAGTAACCACTTCAGAGCTGCATGGTCTGTTCTGATAAGGGACTCTATCCATAGAGATATTTGTAGAAGTGATCTACAGCCTTGATTATTGCCAGTAGTTCCTTTCTGGTTACGCAATAATTCCTTTCTGGCTTGGTCAGTACTTTGCTGAAAAACTCAATATGAACCCATATGACTGGTTCACAGGTTCCTGTGACATCACCTTCTTTAACTGTTACTGCTTCAGGATACACATTGGCAACTCTCACAGGGATGATTTGTTTCGTTTTTACTAAGGCTCGTGCAAAAACTTATTTGCTGGGGGATTCATCACATGACTGGACTATTTCATAGCATCCGGGGTCTTCATCAGCGATAGCGTAAACTACTTTCCCCGAAAAACAAGGAATTCGCGCAGTATTCACTAAGCGCAGTTTCACAGGTAATGCCCTTTCTGCTGGAGTGCTTTGCTGCTTTGGATTTCTGGGTCTCTCAAACCATCTATAAATAGCTGCACCGCTAGCTGCTCCTTGAAAGCTCCAGGTGCTTCTGGATAAGCCAGCTGAATCAGGCGTCTCACATCGGCTTCGAATTCTTGAAGACTCTCACCGCATTTTTGTGTGCGCGTCTTCATTTGGGCCCGGTACAGCTGTTCTCTGTGTTGATCGCCATACCGCAACTCTAGTGCAGATATCAGATCCTCGTATTCACTCTGTTGTTCGGTGGGTATCGTTTGCAACATACCCAAGGCTGGCCCTCTCAGAGCTACGATAAGTGCTGTAGCTTTCTCTTCTTCACCCCATCCATTCGTCGTTGCCGCAGCCTCGAATTGGCGGCGGTACATGGACCAAGACTACTGTCCATCAAAAGTCGGTGGTTTCACAGAAATTGAAGATGTGGCAATCTGTCACGGCGATCTTGATTTTTGAGAAGCGCTATCTGTTTTTCGACTTTCTTTTCTAGTACTATCATCTCTTCTCGTACTGTATGCACTTCTTTTTTAACCTCGTCGTCGATTTTCATGACGCTTCCCTTCAGTTCTCCTTTTAGATTTTCTTTTAGTTCTTCCATTCGTATTTCGGTTTTATGAAGCGCATGTTGGAAGAACTTGTCTTGGTGTTCTAGAACATTCTGGAAATCGGCTTTCCGTTGTTTTTCTATTTGTTCTAATTCATTCTTCTGTTTTTCTAGAATGTTCTGGAGATCTTCTCGCTCTTTTCTCTGTTCTTCGAGAATTTTCTGGAGCGCCTCTTCTCGTTCTTTCTTTTTTAATTCTTTTTCCTCCTGCCTTCGTCTTTCCTCTTCCTGTCGTCGCTTTTCCTCGACTTCTTTTTCCTCCTGTCGTTATCTTTCCGCATCCACAAATTGGTTTTGAATAAATTGCAACATGTCCTCCGCATCGTATCGTACGATTTACTTCTCGTATTCACTATAAATGCCTCATATTATTCACAAAGATGTCTATTTATTGTTTTTTTTATTTATCAGTAAAATTCCACTTCCGACACCATTGTTAGATATTTACTTGGGGTTCGTTTTTAAAACAACTTAGACAACTTTCATTTACTTAATACACAACTGCTGCACTGATAANGTGTGGGATCACCTTAAGCCTTAAGTGATCAGATTACTTTTTCTGGAGATTCAACTATGTCGTCCGAAATATTCCATGCAGGTTATGAACGGGTTATGTTGTTCAAATGAAAGAATTTTTTCAAATTCATGAAGTTATTCTCATATATGATGTATTTACTTACTCGATGTAGAACTTTTCACGAATTTTAACTGGCACTATGACCAATTATAAGCGATTTGCTGGGAGTCACATGGATACACGATCTACCGATCTACAAAACGTTACTATGATGAATTTTAGGCACCACTAAGATGCTTATGTCTTTATGTGGTGACACCATGTTATATTTTTTCTTATGGAACGCTCTATGTTCAATTGCATTTATAATATATACTTAAAACAATAAAATACAATGTAAGAATAAAGTAACATTGAAAATGATACAAATTATGATGAATCCTAAAAAATTGTATGCTTTTTATTAAAATCATTAAATTACATTTAAAAAGTTTAAATTTTTTTCCTCAGAACTTTTTCTAAATATTTAACTTCTACTTTAGCAAAATTCTGTCTCTATTTTTTACATCTTCTAGTTTGAACGTGATATTTTCCTGTCTGGCTTTGTTTTTTACAATTACTCATATCAGTTCTATGGGGTTTAAATCCGGATGGTATGAAGGTAAGTATAAAACGGTGTGACGACCATGTTCTCGTACGAGTTCATCGAAATGGTAAGTTGAAAAGCGTTCTTTATTCGATTTAATTAATCAATATAGCTCAGGTTTCAAACTAGTAAGATTAAAGTGCCATTCAATCATATAATTTGTCCTTGAATCGCTATTAGATGGTGGATTTATTTGTACAGAATGACAGGAGGCATCATCACAGATAATTACCTATAGATTTCCTTATAAAATTTGGAATCAGTTTTTTCCGTAACCATATTTGCCATATACCTGTATCAATGTAAAATTATAACATAAATCTTTACAGTTTCATTTACTTGAAGGTAACGATCATCGCCCTTTTTACCAAGAATTGAAGTATCTCTTTGCATATTCAGGTAAACATGCATAGTATTAAATTAAAGGTGAATCTATGGTATCACAAAATACGATAGGATTTCATACACTTTGAAAATTAAGAACTGGCTGAATATGAGCGATTGAAGGTTCCTTCATTCTGCTTGGTTCTTCTACAAATTTTTAAAATATCCAAAAGCTTTCCTATTATTACAATAACATTTCGTAATTGAATAGAACTGGCCGATACTTGATGGAAATCCATATTAAAAAACTAATGAATACAGTTTATTGTTTCACTATAAAGGGGTTTACAAAAACCACGACACGCGCAAGCAATAGCTTCCTCAAGCATAACAGTTATGCTTGAGGAAGCTATTATAGCGATAAACGTGTCGCGGTTTTTGTAAAACCCTTTATAGTGAAAATCATACAATAAACTGTATTCATTAGTTTTTTAATAAAATTTCGCTCTGATGTACATTACATTACACATGTAATGTGTACATGTGTAATGTGATGTACATTAACATTAGACAAAAAAGTTTACTCACGTTTCACGCACAATTTTACAGAATATCATTTTATGGTTATTGGTGGTGAATATTTAGGTGACCCAACAAATGATAAATGTCAAAAAATTGTGAAATAAAAATTTAGGTTTTAGGATTAGTTAGGTTAGTTTTCAAGTTATAATATGCTTATTTAAAATAGCAAGGGTTGAGTGGTAGAGCACCCTCGGGTGAACTCACCCTTGGGATTTTTGTGTAACAAGATGAATATCATGCATTTTATTTTTCATTGGAAATAAAGACATTATTATTATTATTATGAGTAGCTACAGTCCGTCGCACATTTCTGCTATGTACCGCACTTGGTGGAATCAAATGTGCCAAGTCACTTGAACACTTCCCCTGAAAGTATCTATAGAAAATAGACAAATCTCCAAACTTTCTTCGATGTTCCAGGCTATCAAGGTTGCACGTGATGTTCGTGTCTCCAATCAGGTGGATGGCTCTTTTCTGGATGGAATCCAACAACTTCAGGGTATGTTTGGGGGCAGAGCACCATACATGAGAACAATACTCCAAAAAATGTCTGATCTGAGCTTTATGAAGCATCAAAAGTTGCTGAGAAGTTGCTGAGCTTTTGAGAAGCAGCCTTTGCAATTTCTGCGACATGATTGTGCATAGGTTCCAGTTTTTCTTTTATTCATGAATGAATTGAAATTTTAAGAAATTGTTTGAAAAATAATATGGTTAATTTTAGTGTAGGAATATGTAAATAATTGTTTTATATTTACAATTTCTTTTTTACCTACTTTGTATTACCATACATTTGACTCTCTTTACACAAATCTTGCTTTGTCAATAAAAGTAAGTCTTCATTACTATTAGGCAAAAATTCTATTTGTAGTCAATTTTTTACCCCCTTGTTATATCAGATCAAAAATTGCTTGCATTAACTTACCTTTTCAGATATTTTAAAGTGTGTCATAGTTTTCCATGACAATACTGTACCATTTCTACAACAAGCTGTTAGGCAATGATGGGATTCATAAAAATGACAATTAAATCCTACTATATCATCAATAAATCCTTTGTATTCAAAAGAAAGTTTGCCGGTTCTTGTGTTATATTCGAGTATGGCATTTTTGGAACATACAAATACACTCCTAAAAAATAAATCAATGAATTCATTACCTGAACTGAAGTTTAATTACTTACTCTCCATCTCTGGAAAAAACTGGAGGCAGTTTCACTAACGAACCGCCACCTTTGAAATTAACAGCAACTTCCATCACAAATAATGATACAAAATGGAAATGTGGGTTTCTTCGGTACAGTTATTTGATCTTTTTTCAATTATTCGCATTCAGACAGGCTTTCTGAAATAGGGCTAGGTTACAGCATTTAAGAATAATTTGAAGTAAGGTATATTATGGACATTCTTGTTATAATTGACGTTGTTTATTTGGGAGTAACATTAATATTCCCAAAATTATACATTAAAACAAGACACATGCAGGAATGCAATGCTATAAACACTGCTTTTCTGTTATTATTGAAGGCAGAATTTATGAAATGAGATTTCTCAAAATATTTAAAACTCATTCAAAATATTACATAAAGTCTTCAATATTCGCACAGGGCTCTGTTCAATATTCATTATGTACCCTAATTTAGCATTGTTTCTTTGGAAGTCCTGAGATCTGCCAGGCTAGACTGCCAATGATATATTGCACTCTGATTATATTTGCAAAATTAGTATGTCCTAAATGTATGATAATGTTGGAATATTATTGCAATAATCATACCATTTATCGTCTCCTTTTGACACTTCAATACTAATATTTGGATTTAGTATTCGCCTTATTACTTTTTATGAAGATCTACTTCAGATTGATCACATGCCCCTAAAATATTATTAGGTTAACTGTTGTTCTTGACAATTTATATAAACTTACAAATGGTACGGTACATATGAACTATTCTTCTTCTACTTGAGGAGGCATACAATACATATGTACCATATATAGCCATGTAACGCGAAGCAATAGTTGAAAATATACCGATATTATTCACAGAAAAAGAATTGAAAAAATAATAGATAGTCCTTTTAAGGTTGTCAAAGTCAAGAGAGAATGAATAGAAGAACCATTATAAATGGAAACACAATTCATGTACTGGATATTAAGATAGATATTAAGCATACCAAATTTTAAACAAATAATCTATACAAAAGTTTGCACACAATGTAAACACAATATACAAAATAACAGGAATATGTAATTTAGGGTTCAACCGGACTATCCTTGGAAACCATGGTATATAAAATTACCAAAAACGGATAGAAGACATAGTATTAGTATTATTAGGATGAGAGCAGGACACTGTAGCTGTAAATATCATTTATTCAAAATTGGAAGAAGTAATAGACCAAATTGTGAAACAATTGATCCTTTTTTTTTGGTGCCTTATCAACACTATTTCTGGACAAGATCTAACAGTAAGTAAAAAAAAATAAACCAGACAAATAAAGAAGAAGAAGAAGCAAATATATGTTACAGATACTGCGTATCTTTTGTAACCAAGGACGAAGCTTTTAAACAACACTCAACGGAGCTACGGTATAAAGGCTAGTTCATGTTTGAACGAACATCGCATAAAAAGTGCGATTTAAAATGGCGTCGTGTTTATCGTAAAAAAGTTGAACTTTTTTGCGATTTCCGCAAAATGTTATACGTCAACATACAAAGTAGTTATATTGCTTTGACTCTCGTTTTTTAAGCCCAAACATCGAAATTGAATCCGAAATGGACGAATGTGTCAGTTTGTTCAAATTATATCAACTTTACCGTAAAAAGCTTCATTGAGAAAACACCGTCTTTATAGTGGGAAATATTTTCAAAAATAGAAAAAAATGTGGAAAATATCACAATTTTGTGGTTAAAATAAATGAGAATTAGTAATCCAGAGAAATATTTCAACTATTTCAGGCTCACTCTCTCATTATTCAATAAATTATTGAATTTGGTTGGCCCATCCTTAAAGAAAACTCATTTTGCAAAAGAAACCCTCGCCCCTGCAGGCAGTATCGTTAAGATAAGTGGTTTGAGGACACGCCCCTATTAAACAAAACTTGAGAAAATTGTTAGTCCTATATTCTGATATGATGGGGTCTGGTCTTAAAAGTCGTAATTGGTATGAGTCGTATGTAATCATTCAGGTTAATGTAATAAAATTTAAAATTCAACAATGAAATCCCTAGATATTGCCCGCTTCAACATGAACACGGTATTTTGACAATTGAGGCGAATTTGCGGAACCGCAAAAATATTATCGCAATCGTTTTAATATGAACTTGCCTTAACAGGAGGAGAATTGGCCAAATGCGCCGAGTACGAAGCAATGGCCATAGAAACTAGAGAGAAAGAGAGAACACTGTCAACTGTCAAACCCTCGAATTCCAACATTTATGGCGTAAAGGAGGTTAATATACACGAGAATAGAAAACTAAGTAATTGTAGCAAAACCGATAATATGGCAAAGTTTGATCTAACTCCGAAAATGGGCCAATATTTGGATAGGCACTTAGTCTTTCCTTTATTGGAGTTTTTATCAGCTAAAGGGGTAAGTTTGTTGAGGTTATCTCGGAAATACAACATATTTATCATATTTCTGTTTAGATCTACAATGAAACCGAACTATTGAAGGCCAAACTAGACATTTTGAGTAAAACAAATATGATTGATTATGCTATCGACATAAGGAAGCAGTTGTTTCCAGATGAGGAAGTTCCAGAAGACTTGAAACAGAGACGTATTCACGTTGTTGCTCAATTACAGGAGCTTCAACAAGAAGTCGAACCTATCATTCAAATAATGGCTGATGAAGAAGTTATGAAAAATATGGAAAATATGAGAGATTCTAAAACTCTCATCAACTTCCTGTCCAAGGATTACAAGGTATAAATTGTTCATTATCTAGAATAATGTGATATAAAATAATTGCTTTCTTTCCAGTTCGAAATTGACATGATCGATAGTCTTCACAAATTAGCTAAGTATCGTTATGAATGTGGTAACTATTCAGTATCAACATCATATTTGTATTTCTGTATGCTTGTTCTGCCTCAAAATGACAAAAACTACCTGAGTGCTTTATGGGGCAAATTTGCGTCTGAAATTCTTTATCAGAATTGGGATTCTGCTCTGGAAGATCTCAATAAGCTACGAGAATACATAGATTCCAGCCCCAACCAGTTTGGAGGAAACAGCTTACAGCTCTTGCAACAGAGAACTTGGTTAATACATTGGTCCCTCTTTGTATTCTTCAACCACGCCATGGGGAGGGAACTTATTATAGAAATGTTCCTTTATAGGCCACATTATCTCAATGCCATTCAGACAATGTGCCCTCACATCTTGAGATACTTGGCAACTGCTGTAATAATCAATCGTGGGAGGAGATCTGCCCTGAAAGATCTGGTTAAAGTTATCCAGCAAGAAAGTTACACATATCGGTAAGCTATTTTGTATCCTGTATTTGATATTCTTTAGACTTTGTTTCGGGATAGTATTCTCGTATTTATTTGTTTCAAGATATATTACAAAAAAATGATTTTTCAAGAACAGAAATGGTGATTGATGATATTTAATTGTTTTGACATATTTTCCTTGTGAAAGAACAAATAAAAATCATTCTCTTCCATTTTTACAATTTCATGTTCATCAAGTATTTGATAGACAGACTATTACCATACACTCTATTAAGCAGTTGAAGGTTTTGAGAAAAAATGAATTAATAGTGGCTTGTGATGCACTGTTTGGAACCTTTGGTGTAGTAATTAGTAATGAATATTACTGAAGTTTTTACCCAACACCAAACCATTATATTAACACCTCGACACGTGTTTTGATCACCAAGTGATCATCTTCAAAAGGAAGATCAAACTAATCATACTTACAAAGCTATCCTTATTTATACCATACAGGTATACCATACATAGATTAAATTAATTTTACAATTTGCCTTATCTACTTGCCTTAAATTAATTTTACAATTTGTCCTTATGTAATAGTCAAGTAAATGTAATAATTGAAATATTCTAAGCTATATAAAATTAATTTCACATATTGCCTTATCTACTACTCTTAAATTAATTTTACAATGTGTCCTCATGCAATAGTTAGGTGAATCTAATGATTGAAATATTATAATCTATATAAAGTTAGTTTCACAATATTGCCCTGGCTAATTAATTTTACAATGTGTCCTTATGTAATATTGTGAAATTAACTTTATATAGCTTATAATATTTCATTAGATTCACCTAACTATTACATAAGGACACATTGTAAAATTAATTTAAGACTAGGCAATATGTGAAACTAATTTTATATAGCTTTGAATATTTCAGTTATTAGATTTACTTGACTATTACATAAGGACACATTGTAAAATTAATTTAAGACACTCAAGACGCAGGTACCTAGAACAGGTAGATACCTGTATCTGCGTATGGCATAAATAAGGATAGCTTTGTAAGTATGATTAGTTTGATCTTTCTCTTGAAAATGATCACTTGATGATCGAAACACGTGTCGAGGTGTTGAAATAACGGTTTGGTGTTGGGAAAGAAATCCAGTAGCAATTAATAGTGGCTTGGCTTGATGTTACACTGGTTAAAAAGATTAGAATTGATAATAATTGTATATCAAAATTAAATTTCATTAAATTATAGAATACAATGTTATTCAATATATTTAATTGCATCAATTATATGCACTACAAAACGTTGTGGTTCTGCTCCGTAGATGTTTTCAAATTGTTTACTATTTTGCAAGATATCTTCATTGGTTGAATTTTTCAAAATAATATTGATTGTCTATGTAAATTCAACATTTCAGTGAATACTGCGATGAATGGTTTCCTGTAAAATGGTAACATTGTTGATCTTGACCATATAGCAAACTAGTGTCACTCAGACAGTATGCTTATAAATGTCAACAAATGCCACTGATGCAATAAACCAATCATTATCGATTATCATATTAACAGTGTAGTCTTAAACTATATACATCCAACAAAGTAACCCAAACAAAGATAGATGCGTGATCAAAGCATGATCACCACACATATTGCATCTATTGAGTAAAATAAGCCTCCTCACATTGGCGAATCAGATTTAACTGCAATCACCTGGCAGAATTCATGTTACGGTGTCAGAGTGGTCAGTTACGTATTGACGCCTGTAGTGTGTAGATATAAGGTATATTAAAATTTAAAATAGTCCTACACCCAGCCGAATATAACAAAAAATAAATCTCGGTCGTTCCTTAATGTGGCTCTGTACAAGCAGCCTTGTCTGGGAGATCACGTGCACCAGGCACCGTAGATTTTACCAATCTTTTTATAACATGTTCCAAAGCTAAAACTATGGATAACACAGCTGTATATCCCGTTTCCAAAGACTTGCAAATGCTTATGAATAATTAGATATTTTCAGTCTCTCAATACCCGAGTTCAAAACTAGTCTTATCCTGCACTTTGTCCCATAAATATTTTGGCTTTCTTTTTTAGTGTTCCCCGAATGTGCAATCAATTTTTTTATTTTTTCATATAATGATGCCTAACTTAATCAAATTGCTAATGTGCAAATCCTACTATTTTATCTTATCACTTGTGAAATGTATAACCAGATATCTGTTTTATCATCTCAAAATTATTGCTATATTTGTTATCTCTTTCTGATTATCACAATCTGTAATTATTTATATTCTGCAATGGGCTTGTTCCATTGAATAATAGAAAAAATGTGAATGCTGTAAAATTCCTGTTGACCGAAATGAAGAGGGACAGCCATTTTCATTATTTTTTTCTAAATTGGGGATAACTGTGAATAAATGAAATTTTTGAGTCCATAATCATTTTATTTCAGCGATCCGATAACAGAGTTTTTGGAACATTTGTATGTGAACTTTGATTTCGATGGTGCCAGGCAGAAACTACACGAATGTCAAACAGTCTTACTCAACGATTTCTTCCTCATATCCTGCCTAGACGAGTTTGTGGAGAATGCCCGTCTCATGATTTTTGAAACATTCTGTAGAATCCACGAGTGTATCAGCATCAGCATGTTGGCAGAAAAACTGAACATGAATCCAGATGAAGCTGAATGTTGGATTGTGAATTTGATCAGAAATGCTAGGTTGGATGCCAAGATAGATTCCAAATTGGGTCATGTAGTAATGGGAGCGCAACCACTTTCTCCATACCAACAACTCATTGAAAAAATTGATTCTTTGTCAGTGAGATCAGAGACATTATGTGGACTCATTGAAAGAAAACTAAGAGCGAAAACAGATGTAAGTGTAAGTGGTAAATCCAAAGAAATCTTTTGAGCATAAATAAACTCTCATTTCAACACTTTCAGCAGGGATGTATTTGAATATTCGTAGAAACTCTTATTTTATATGGAGTAGGTCAATTTTTTTATTTGTACAATTTTCAAAATTCATATTGGTCTCTTTGTGGGATAGAAGCATTCTAATACCCTACTGAAAGTTCATTCTTAGTTTTCTAAGTTATTAGCTAATATTAATGACTTTTTTTTTATTTTGCAGATACGTTGGGGAAATCAGGAATTTTAGGTTCATGAATACTATATTCCTTTCTTTATTATTCTTTCCAATATAATAAAGTGATTTTCACCAACACGTTTATTATTTAACATCCAAACTATTTTTATATTGACTGAATAATGAACTGAGTCAGTAAACAATTTTGAAGAAACCGTATTTATCAAACCTTTATTCTGCGATTTTCACAAAACAGTTTACAAAACAGTCTTCATTACTAT